GTGGGCCGGCCCAAAGCATGCGCCAAACCCTGAATGAACGAGCAAAAAAAAACAAAAGATGTAGCCCAGCCTCTTTGCCTTGTCTTGCGTACTCCGTGGAAGCCCATTTGTTCCTGTTTATGGAGAAGGGGGAAAAATGAGAATGTCCTATTTACCTTCCTCAACTATCTTACTATGTGGTTGGACGGTGGTTTTGCTGATGTGGTGCCATGTAGAGGTCGGCAAATCGGACTATAAATATTTTTCAAAAAAATCTAAAAATTCATAAAATAAGTTTTAAAAAATTATCTAAATATTTTACATGGAAAAAAGTAATGCAATTAAAAATTCTAAAACCTAGTTTAATCTTAGAAAATTTGTTTAAAGTCACGCTTTTATCTTATAGTGCCTAGCTTGAAATTGTTTAAATTTTTATGGACTTGTTTTGGTGCTTATTTGCTAATATAAGCTCTGGCTATCTATTATATTAGTCGATGTGATCATACAAACTACGCAGAAGTGCAGTTGAGCGTCATCGGGACCATATGTGCGGCAGGGTGCATGCGACTATGCAGGTTAACACGACTACTTAAAAAAATTAACCAACGCAGGAGACCAACACCCACCCTACTACACATACGTAGCCCTGACGACCCTCCACTGGCGCTTCTACGGAGTTGGATGATCAATATCGACCAATCATAGTAGATAACAAGAGCTTCTACTAGCAAATAAGCACCAAAATAAGGCTATCAATATTCAAACAATTTCAAGCTAGTCACTATAAAATAGAGCATGGTTTTAGAAAAAAAATCTAAAACTAGTTTCATATTTTTTCAAGCTAAAAAAATTTCCATGAATTTTCTAAGATTAAACCATATTTTACTATTATTAATTATATTAAATTTCCATGTAAAAAATACTTGGATATTTTTTTGCAAATTTATTTTTATAAATTTTTTGATACTTTTTAAAAAGACATTTGTAGTCTAATTATCTCCTTGAACGTTCAACTTAGTCCGATTTATCCCCTCTCATATGGAGTCACGTCAGTAAGACCACCATGAAAACCACTCAGGTTGGAAAAACAAACGGTTTAAAAAGTTGAGGAATTTAAAAGAAAAATAAAACTACCGCGATAAATTGAGGAGGTAAATTGATTTTTTTTAAATGATAAAGAAATGGATATTGGGCCAAACTGCCCCCTCCTTTTCAGCCGTATGGGGTCCACGGGTGCCCCCCCCCCTCTGTATACAGCTCAACGGCTCCATCCATTAGTCAGGCATCCTATTCATGTAGTCTTCGGTTTTTGATTGGAGAGGGTGAAGATTGGTGTGGACTGTGGAGTTTAGCACTCTCCTTATTTATTCGCAAATCATAAAACATACATACTATACGATATACTCCCTACCTTGGAGTTGGTTGGTCCAAATCAGACAGAGCATGTGGCTGTGCATGTGGACTCGCTGGGTTCGATCCTTTCAGCAGAATTATTGGTAGGTGGTACTCCCATTTGATCATCACTAGTATAATGATTGACGGCGATATATATATCAAGCTGAAGAACACAAGAATATAAATATCTCCCTGGCAACATTACTAATGCTAATGCTACCCAGATGAAAATTAAAAGGATAAATAATTTCAGCGTGACAGTGGTAGCTAGGTAGCGATGGAATGCAACCATCGGCAAGCGACATCCAGCTTACCAATTGGCCTGTCGCGTGTACACCAGCTGTCTTCGTATGTACGTTAGCCCACGCAGGTCAGGCCAAATTAACTTCGCATAACAAATAAAACTAGGCATGTCGTAAAGTGTGTGTGTATATATATATACGCGCGCGCGCAACGATCTCTTTTGCTGTACATTACATGTGATGTGACTGCACGCTAGCTAGAAGGATCATGATCATTACTGCCGTTTGCGCATTTCTAAGGGGGTTACGGTGTGTTCGGAACGCATGAATTTCGAAGAAATCGCGCAGGAGTTTGACATGAATCATTCAGCTCAATTTCACGTGAAAAGCACAGGAATAGAAAAATTTTCCCGTGTTCCAAACAGGAATAGGAAATTTTTTCCTTGTTCCAAACAAAACAAAAGGAAAATTTGTACACCGACGACGGTGGTTTGGACGATGGCTTGGCAATGTTGGCAACCACTTGCCAAGTTGGTCGAGCAGAGGATTCGTATTCTAGTGCGTACACACCCCACATTGCCCATGCTTATACGCAGGGAAAAAAAACTTTAGCAATAACAAATCTACGTAGTATGTTCCAAATTAAATCCGAAGATTAGGCTGGAAAATGTGAGCAAAGAGGCCTGACCATCCAGCTCTGGAAAGCATGCTCGTCTTGGCTCGTGTTTGCTACTATTGTACCATATATATTGGTGGAGAGGTCTTACCAGCAGGCATCAGCATTGGTAACAATGGCCAAACAAGTAACCTTTTGGATGTCCATATATAATAATTTAGGAAAGTTTGGTTGACCAAATCCGGCATTCAAAAATCAAACTAGCTCAACAAAGTACTCTCGTGTCCTTTCCTTTACCAGAGGATATCTCCTGCATTTGGCAATTATCATTTCCATGGACCTCTGATTGGGCGATTAGCTTACGCATTAGGAGGCATTGTCCCATTTTTTTAGAATGTTGTTTTCTTAAAAAAAAAAATAGATCTCATAAAATTATTTATTTTGAGACGAAGAGAGTATCTTCTAAATGCTCTCCATTTTTAGGGGCTCTTGCATTTTAACCCTATTTTGTATCAAAATTGTGATTTTACCCCTGTGTTTTTGACTTTGTTAATTTACTCATGTGATTTCAAAACGAAGCACCAATTTTGTCCCTACACCTGGGCATCTGACGGACATCCAAAGCAGTGGTAGACGGGCAATTCATTTCAAATTAAGAATGGTAAAAAAACAAAGTTGGAAAAAACATGAGCAAAATCACAATTGAAGTACTGGACAAGGGCAAAAACACAATTTTCCTTTCATTTTATTAGGCATATTATAGGATTTCAAAATATCAAATTTTCTAGATTTTGACTAAAAAATTACTCAAATCATATGCATGTTTAGTGTATAGAAATATGTGGACATTTTAGTATTTCAAAGACCTTTTAATATGACATTGATTTGTAGTAATTAATAATGTTATATTGTAAGAAATTTTGATGGAAAAGTACACTCTAGTGACCTTTTAGAATCCTTATATCCATAATAAAAAAGGGAAAATTGTGTTCTTGAACGGAGGTAGTACTCCACTACGTGCACCCCTCAAGCTAGCACATTGGCCGGAGATGGAACTCTACGGCGATTGTTAACACTTACCACCGAATTCTCAGTGTTCTACTACCATCTAGAGATGTTGTGTCCATTGCCACCACTTGCTACAAAAATGAAAGATCAAATATGTCTCATGTATCACCATTCATATTGGAAAATGCCACAACAATGCTTAAGAAAACTATAGTTGTCATATTATTTTTGTTTTGGAAAAAGTATACCCCCACTGCCATTAAAAAATGTAGATTATTTTAGTTTCATCATAAGTCAAAATGTTTCTCACTTTGATCAAATTTATAGAAATGTATATTAAACATCTACGGCGCCAAATAAATGCAGTATATATCAAGACATATTGGTGCATTTTTCCATAAATGTGATACAAGTAGAGAAGTTTGATTTGTGGTAAAACTAAAATTTATAACCTACTCCTACGTTTTAAAATGGAGGGTGTGTCACCAGGTAGAAATTGTGCTGTCATCTTGAATTGGAAGCGTTTCTGTTTTACTCCAGTTGTAATTGTAACCGTATGTTGTTTTTCCATGTGTGTTTATTGCAAAAGTGGAAAGTGTTTGCTCGCCAATTAAAAGTGGCTTTTATTTTGTGTTGAAAGTAGTTATTATCAAGTTTTTTTTGTGACTAGTTATTATCAAGTTGGAAACGTTAATTTGCATTCAAATGCACATTCCTTTTTATTTATCTGGCTGGAAATGAATATCTATAAATGGAAAGTGACCCTTGCGAGAAGTGTGAAAGTGAAAAAGTTGGGGGTCATTAGGACTTGCAAATTTACCTTTTTCCATAATTTTTTTGAAGTATTTTCCTATGGACAGTGACCCTCGCTAGGAGTGTGAACGTGAAAAGGTTGGAGGGCCATTATGACTCTTGTTTACTTTTTTTTCATCACTAAATTAGTTTTTAAGCATTTTCCTTCGGTTGTCTTGAGAAAGTTTTAAATTAAATTTGAAACATATCTTCATTTCTTTCCTTTTCTGTGACCTACTGCGAGTTTGTGATTCTAATTTTGAGGTGAACTATAGCACTGCAAAAGTTGTATTCTTCTTCATTTGAGGCACAAACCAAAAGTTGGTTACACATACTATACAATGTTTGAAAAGGTGATTATTATTATTTTATATTTGTAAATCAGTGTGCTACATGAGAATCGCATCAGTCTCCAATTATTCGGTGACCCACACAAGAAGCAGAAAAAAAAAAATTAAGCCGAGGCACGAGGAGGACAGCCCAACGTTGGCGTACCCCACCTGCAGGTCTCTGTTGGCCCCACCTGCAGACATCATGTCTAGGCTCCAATCTTGTACTGGCCCATGGCTCCACGATTATGAACTGAAGCACAGTTTTCACTTGCGGTTCCAGCGCCGAATGCCGAATGGCATGGAACGGAATGGAAACCGCAGCAGCAGCGAGGCTGTAGATACACCTGGTCCATGCACAACCGACGGGGGGAAGATGAGCTACAGATACCGACAGGTGGGACCCAGACGACGTTCCAATCCCTCCAAACCGGGGTGGGGTGTCCAACTGGCCAATATAACTGACGTCCCCCCACGACGCCCTCCCTCCGTCCCACCCGCTTCGGCTTCTCCCTCGGCCTCGCTCGATCGCTGATCGCTCCCACGCCCTCGCCTCCCCTCCACAAACCACCACCATCCATCCAACACCGCGGCGCGGCGCATCGCGTGAGAGAGAGGGGGATCGGCAGGTCGGGCAAGATGAGGGAGATCCTGCACATACAGGGCGGCCAGTGCGGCAACCAGATCGGCGCCAAGTTCTGGGAGGTGATCTGCGGAGAGCACGGCGTCGACTCCACGGGCCGCTCCTCAGGGACCTCCCCGCAGCAGCTCGAGCGGATCAACGTCTACTACAACGAGGCCGGCGGCGGCCGCTACGTGCCCCGCGCCGTGCTCATGGACCTGGAGCCCGGCACCATGGAGTCCATCCGCGCTGGCCCCTTCGGCGGCATCTTCCGCCCCGACAACTTCGTCTACGGCCAGTCCGGCGCCGGGAACAACTGGGCCAAGGGACACTACACCGAGGGCGCCGAACTCATCGACTCCGTCCTCGACGTCGTGCGCAAGGAGGCCGAGAACTGCGACTGCCTCCAGGGTATGCACTGATACTGACCTACCTACGCATCAATCCCACGCTAGGCCGGCTAGGTGTTCCTTTCGTCGATCTCGTGTTTCCTCCGTGGATCGGTCGTGCTCTGTTTCGTGCGTCAACTCTGCTCCTCGTGGCATTGCCTGCTTCTGAAATCTGTCTCATAAATCAGATCAGGCATTTGAGCGTGGTACTACTGAAAACACAAATGCAGCGAACACCGATTTTGGTCCAAATCTGGCACACTAGTGTTATTATTTGTCACGTAAATTGTAAATCTGCAATCATCCTGCATTTCTGCCTCTAACAGCCATCGAGGGATGCACGCGACTGCTGGGTGGATCAATGCTTGATCCATGTGTTTCGTGAGGACAGGAATAGCACGATATTAAAACACCCTACAGGAGAAATTAGTTGCATTATAATTAAACGGAACTAATATGCCAGTTTAGCAGCATGTACAGGCAGGCCTTGATAGGTAGCAGATCGTCCAGTACAGTTAGTGTTAATTTGGTGAATTTGAATTCTTCATTCAAGGAAATAGATTCAGGGTAACTATTTGAATATCGATTTATTCACTGCATCCAAAGAATACCTGATCTAGTAGCAGTATAAATTGAAAGACCAAGATCATTTTCGCTGCTAAAAAAGTATCGTTTTCCTTTTCTGATCATTCTTACCGCAGTAGTATTGTTCAATAGATACTCCCATTGTCCCACAAGTTGCCCCCATTGTCCGATTCCCATTGAGATGTTTCAGCACTTATCTGCATTCATCTTGGATGCTTATGTTCAGTTGAATGAAATTGCTGAAACTTTGTGATAAGGAAGCCAGATATGTCTAATTGTTTGCTAGACACACTCACAGACTTAATAATTGAAGATTTGAAGTAGGAACTTGATGCTCCACAACATTCATAATATTAGATGAGCTCTGTCATTCTTTGAGATCTTAATTGACCAGTTGACAGTTACATTTGTGTGTCGGTGTAGCTAATTTTTAACCAAAAGTAATCATGAGGTTATTACTTCATACAAACACTGCAGTTCTGAAAAGAAGGTAGATTAGACCTGTCTCACCTGTTGCCCAGTTTTTCTCTGCAATCTGTACTGCAACTTTGCTAGTGGCAACGGGGCCGTGTGTTTTCAACTAAAATATTTATCAGTGGGTACATAGAAACATGATCACGGCCAAGCAGAACCTATTGCCATGCATTTGTTGTCCTCCTACCAAGCTATGACTAGTGCAGCACAGATTTAGCTGACCAAGTGCCCCGTTTGTGAATGTTAGTTTCATTGCTAGTTGAACATGTGTAAATTTTACTGAACATAAAAAAAATCACTAATTGCTGCTTGTAAAATTTACACTTTTGTTTTCTAGACTAGAGATATGGGTTTCAGTACTTTCAGGTGCTAATGACCTGGTTTGTCGGTTAGAAACCAGTTTTCAGTACTGAAGCATGTTACATCACATGTCAACGTCTTCTTAGGCTGGTGAAAGTTCTTGCGATTATTGCAATAATACATTACTAATGGTATTATCATGCTCTGATTAATGACAATGCTGTACGACCTACCAAAATAAAAAAGCAAGTATCTAGATCTGCTGCTACTGTAACAGAGTCGGTGGTGGTTGCAACGAATGAGACACCGAGACAGGCTGTACCTAGTGGGCTGGTGGTTGGGAGGATTACTCATGTGTTGCTTACTTGCTTAGTGTATATACTTGCATTATTGCATTTGGACTTATATGAGGTGAAATGGATTTTAGCGCATCTAATCAAAGCAGCATTAGAAAAAACATAAAGTCAGTTATACAATACATAACTTGACACTGTATATGTTTAAAAAAAAGGACAGACCCAGTGCCGAAGGCTCCCACATGAGTGAGGTCTGGGGAAGGGATAAACTGAGACGAGCCTTTCCCCTGTAAAATCTGCGGAGAGGCTGCTTCAAACCCACGACCTGATGACTTGACACTGTATATGATTACTGAGATCAAATTTCCTGTGGTTCATGCCTTTTCGACGGGCTACATGACCGAACTAACTTTGCACAGGTCACGGCATCTCAAGAACTGAAACTGTCTGCCACTGACATTGCTCGCATATTTGACAGGGTTCCAAGTATGCCACTCCCTGGGTGGCGGCACTGGTTCTGGCATGGGCACGCTGCTCATCTCCAAGATCCGGGAGGAGTACCCGGACCGCATGATGCTCACCTTCTCCGTGTTCCCGTCGCCCAAGGTGTCCGACACCGTCGTGGAGCCCTACAACGCGACGCTGTCCGTGCACCAGCTCGTGGAGAACGCGGACGAGTGCATGGTCCTTGACAACGAGGCGCTCTATGATATTTGCTTCCGCACCCTCAAGCTCACCAACCCTTCATGTAAGCATTATCTCGTTCGCTTTCATGCATGCTGCCAAAATGCCAACCCGAGTACAATTGCCAACGGATGAATCCAAATGAATGTGCAGTTGGTGACCTGAACCATCTGATCTCGGCGACCATGAGCGGCGTGACGTGCTGCCTGCGGTTCCCGGGCCAGCTGAACTCGGACCTCCGCAAGCTGGCAGTGAACCTGATCCCGTTCCCGCGGCTGCACTTCTTCATGGTGGGGTTCGCGCCGCTGACGTCGCGCGGGTCGCAGCAGTACCGCGCGCTGACGGTGCCGGAGCTGACGCAGCAGATGTGGGACGCCAAGAACATGATGTGCGCGGCGGACCCGCGGCACGGGCGGTACCTGACGGCGTCCGCCATGTTCCGGGGCAAGATGAGCACCAAGGAGGTGGACGAGCAGATGATCAACGTGCAGAACAAGAACTCCTCCTACTTCGTGGAGTGGATCCCCAACAACGTCAAGTCCAGCGTGTGCGACATCCCGCCCGTTGGGCTGTCCATGGCCTCCACCTTCGTGGGCAACTCCACCTCCATCCAGGAGATGTTCCGCCGCGTGAGCGAGCAGTTCACGGCCATGTTCCGGCGCAAGGCCTTCTTGCATTGGTACACCAGCGAGGGCATGGACGAGATGGAGTTCACCGAGGCCGAGAGCAACATGAACGACCTCGTCGCCGAGTACCAGCAGTACCAGGACGCCACGGCCGAGGAGTATGACGAGGAAGAGCAAGACGGCGAGGAGGAGCACGCCTGATCGGACGCCAACTGATCGATGCAAAGGGTTTCAGTTTCTTCGCTCCTATGGTACACCAATCGAGACTATACATTCCTACAATCCTACTACCTTAAGTATGTATATTCATGTACTGCCGTATTTCCGTTACTGCTGCTAGCTTGTGTGTGTATCTACAGTCGTGTGTGTTAGTGTTTTGTGAACTTGTGATATATTGTCACCGTTGTCCAGGTTTTGTGCGTATGTTTTATTCATATATGATGGGATTGCTCTCTGTTCTTGGACGTATATGTTAGGAATATTCATTTCATTGGAAGGTTGTTTTGCGTTTCTTCATTTGCACTCATGTGAAGTACATGTCCTATTGTATTTGTCTCTACTACTATACTGTCATGCTTTGGACGCCAAAGTGCTCAATGCGCGTTAAGTTCATTTTTTAGATAGAGGAACAGAAGGTGCTAGCTGAGGCTCGTGTGTAGTTGTGTATGCTTTCCTAGCTCTTATTTTGACAAAGCTCTCGGTGAAGGACTGAAGAGATAATTAGAGGACTGAAAGACGAGAGCCTTAATTTTTTTCACCAAGTAGACAAGCAATATGCAGATAGTGTGTTTCAAAGATCAATCCAAGTTGCTCTTCTAGTTCTCGCCAATATCACATACACACAACATACCTTAAAATGATACTGGAAAATAAACTTGGCCAAGTCAATGAACACCCGACCAAGTCAGGAAACCAGCTTAACGCCTTAACCTACTTTCAAACATGACTGCCTATTTTTAGAAAAAAAAGGTAAATCTTAACAAGCGACCTCCAGAATCACAAATCTTGCTTACCACATGGTGAAGATATTTCCACAGGGCTTGCCAAGAACATTTGGGTTTACCAAGAATTTTGAAATTACTCTCTCAGATTGGGATTTTGTTAAAAAAAACTTGAAAGCACGAATTCAAGGTGCTCATGGAAAATCTTAAGATCTAAGATTTATCTTTTATCCAATGGTGCCTCGTGAGGATATTGAAAACTCTTTAGGTCTCTAATTAGTAACACTAAAATGTTTGGATTGGAATATCTACTTTATTGTAAGGTTGCTTTGTGTTTCCTATGTTGCACTCTCGTGTTAGTACATTTCTAAGGTGTCTTGATGTTTAGTTTTGGGTGCCCAAGTGCTGAATGTGCAGTGTCCATCTTCTTCGTAGTTCATACTGCTGCTTTTGTGTAGAAAGTAGTGTATGCTAGCGCTTCTCATCGGACTTATATGAGTGGTGAATCTCAGCCCTTGGACCTTGGCCTAAGATCTAAAGCCCAGAAAAATCAAGGGATTGAGGGCCCAGCAAAGAAAGATGCAGCCCAACCTTGGGCTTAGCCCGTCTCCAGGTCTGCCCCAGCTAGTCGTCGTTGTCATTTTTGCTGAGGCCATCTATCCCACTATGAACTGTTTCACTATCACAAGAACTGCATTCATTTTCCCAGTGACACGATGTAGTTTATCTGACCATGGCATGCACGCCCATTCGTTAAAGCTTCCGCACTCAGCTAGTGCAGATGTGATGTCCAGGAGAGATCGGCAGAGCTGAAGGTGTCACCGAAAGAACTGGTCTGCCCTACACTGCACTTCCAATGGCCAAGACTTGCAGGGCCTTGCATTGCTGCCATTTGCTGAGCTGCAGTGTTGCTTCTTTAAAATGTCCCTGTGACGGCACAAACAAAAAGACTGGGTCTTAGTGCTCCATGCACTAGTGTTTTCCTTTGTTTTTGAGCAGGTCACTGGGTCTATTTATTTAGGCGCCAATGCAACTTCTTCAGTAAGAGGTCACCAAAACAACTCATGGTGTGTTTAGCCGTGAAGCTTTCATTTGCTGATTTCTTTTGTGTGGTGGCCTTATATATATCTTTGGACCGAACGGTGTCTTCTGGAACCAGATATAAAATTGTCACGTTGTGCAGACCTTTTCTTCCCTTCCCGGTGCTGAAACTGGAAGTGAAATCCTAGTTGCTGAGCAGGACCTGCAATTATCTGGTGCAATCCCTCTACACACTGTACCAATTACAAATGATTGCCGTTTCTAATCTGCTCTCAGGAGTCGAGATCAACGGTACAAAATCCTAATCTTCCCCTTCCCATGGTTCATGAGTTGTTTGAAGTTTTTTTTTTCCAAACAGGGTCTTTTCCAAACAACTTCACCTATGAAGCTAGCTCTATTTGGCACAGCTTCTCCAATGTTACGAGCTGTTTGAAGCTGTTTTGTGCCTAATTTAAAACAACTTTACCTGTGAAGTTCCTTAAAACATGCTCTCACAAGGCATTTGTGTAGCATAAAGCTAAAAATAGCAACCTTTTCTAGCTTCAACTCGCTCTGGTGGGCCTTACGTGGGATTCACATGTTTTAAAAAGCTCTACATGTAGAGCTATTTTGCCAAACAGTTACCAAAACAACTTTAGCTTCATCGGTAAAGTTGTTCGTGGAGCTGAAGAAAAAAAAAATTGCTTCACCGGTGAAGTGGAGCTTTGCCAAACGAGACCAAATCTTACTCTCATATGGGAATATCCTTTAAATCTTGCTCTCACATGGGAATCAAGTTGGATGAAGGTAAAAATAATAGTTTTTCATAGCTTCACCTTTCAGTTGTGGCCCAGCGTGTGTGAAGGTTGGATTTGCCCATGCGTGAAGGACACTGGAGTGGAGTTGCCGGGCGAGATGGGCGGGCACAACCATAGGGGCGCAAGCGAGCACAACCACAGGGGCATAGGTGAGTGCGACAACCAGGGCACGTTGGCTTGACCAGCGGGGCTCGCGCGAGCATGGTCGCTAGGGCGCGTGCAAGCAGACGACATGGGATGCTCGAGGATGCTGGCCCAAGCATGTTGTGTATAACAGTATAAGGAAGAAGAAATAGGAAGAGGAGAAAGCATAAGGGGTACTATAGTCATTTCAATCGTTTCATCTACCATCACGAGCTATTTTACCAAATAGTCTATCATTATAGTTTCAACTAGTAGTGCTTCTCGTAGAGCTCAAGAAAAAAAAATACTATGGAGTTGAGTTGTGCAAAATGGGTACTATTATCGTTTCTAATCTGTTTTCATGAAGCCACTCCGTATCTTTGAGGGAGAAGATACCTGGTCTGTGCTTCATCAAGTTTTATTAATGCATTCCCCCTTCATCTCGGAATGAGGAAAAAGCTACACGAGCGGCACAAATGCAGCCACGCGCCAAGCTGCGAAGTTGCAATGGACCCAAAAGTCGCTCCCGATTCCGGAACAAACACCTCCCCGGCAATGTATAGATCCATCACCGCTTTCGCGAGGTTTCTCTGAAACGTGGACGGCTTCAGAAGCCGTTGAAACGCGAGGCGGCGAGGGTGACATGACGCAGCAGCTCGGTAGCCCATGTACTGCCGCGGCATTTTCCGGCCGGCGTCCGAGGCCAGATTGCAAATTTTTGCAACTGGACACTGCAGCACGTTTCGTTTCTATTTGACAAACTTTGTCCGATCATGGACTAACTAGGCTCAAAAGATCCATCTCATGATTTACAACCAAACTGTGTAATTAGTTATTTTTTTACCTACATTTAATGCTCCATGCATACGTTCAAAAATTGATGTGATGGAAAGAGAGTGAAAAAACTTGGAATTTGGAGATGATCTAAACAATGCCCAAGTTGGTAGAGGAACCTCGCACCCGCTTTTCCAGGCGTGATCTGGTCACCGACTCACCGTCTCGGCAAATGTTCCTCAAGACAAAGACCTCAACGTACCCCAACCGGCCAACCGTACCGTGATGTGTTCCAGAGACTCTTGCAGGCAGCGGTGGCCAAACCAACCGCTCACATTCGCAGGACGGGTCACAAGTTTCTGCTAAGATCGGCCCGTTTGGCTCGCTCAAACTTGGCTGGAATTGATTGTTGAAATATTATGAGAGAAAAATACTGTTTTGATTGAAAAAAAAATAAGTCGAATATAAAGTAAGCTAAACAGGGCCATACAGCTCTGCTACTGCGTTGACAAAATCTGACAGGTTTTTGCGGGTTTTGAGATGTTTGCGGTGCATGCATTTTATGAACGGGATATTTGTGGAAAGCATTTTATGCGCTCAAAAGGGGGGAAACAAAGGGAGCAAATAAGGGTAGTACTTGATGTTTTTCCTCCTTTTTATTTTAGATGTTTTTTTGCTGTCCTCCACTCCAAAGTTGTCCCTCGATCAACCTGAAGATAAATGCTCCCTGTACGTGTCTTCTTGTGCCTCGCCTTTTGACAATGATGCCCTGCCGTGCTGTGCTGTGCCGTGCGAGTGCCTGACTGACAACTTGACAATGATATGCAAGCATTGCAGCATGCGAAGTACGTACTCCTAAGGTTAAACCATAATACACCACAGAAAGGCCAGGCATAGAGAAATAAATGTTAAAATGGCTTGGGCATCATTATTCATAAAGATAGAGACCAGTCTCTCTGGTTGCGCTAGTTGGAGAAGAGCAGCGAGCAGAGTTTTGACGTACCCCGATCGGAGACGTAGGGTTGGAGTCGGAAGTAGCGTTTTGGCCAGGCCTTTCAGTCGGAGAGGCCGTCCGAAGGTGATCGGAGTTGGAGCGAGCGCTCCGGTCAGAGAGGTGGGCCGGAGTCGGAAAACGGGCGCTGCTCCTCCCCGGTCAGACCTTCCGATCGGCCATTGGATCACCATTCTGGCCTGCTGTTTAGACTCTTGGGCCGGCCCATGCGTTGCACGCTGTCTGCTTGGGCCGAGCCTTTGCGGGGAAGCCGGTCCGCGAGGAGCTCCCGTGCAGACAACAGCCGGTGGCAGGTTCTCAGCACCAGCGAGCGCGGATCCAGCACCCCTCGACCGGATCTTCGTCGGGGAGGGCGGCAGGTGCGGGACAGTGTCCATGGCGGCGGCGCCAGCGACGGGGAGGGTACCAGCCTGCCTGCGCCCGCACTCCTGCAGGCTGCCGGGCGGCGACCGACTGGGGGCGAGCCCGCCTGTGCCCGCACGCCTTTTGCCTTGCCGGCGTAGCAGCCGACCG